GCGAATGTACTCTCAATTAAATTTATTTTTTCAGCAATATCTCAAGCAAAATTATAGCATATTAATATAACTAATTTCAATTGTTCACTGTTACATGTACTGGTAATAGTCATTTGCGTGTTTAAGCAAATCCCTGGACAAGAAATATAAAAATGGCGGTCATCGAAGTTAATATTGTACCCCGGTAAATAACGTCGGAATAAAAGAATGTGTCCAAGATGTTCTAAAATGGAAATGATTATTGTTTGATTTCGGGTATTTCCCTAATAATAGCTGTTGTATACTACCGTATTTATGTGTTTAAGGACAGAGTCAAACTACGACGGCATTGAACAGGCAAGTTGGAGAAAATACGTTATATCACAATTAAAGGAAATTTTAACTATGTTTGTATAAAACACTATTAAAATGCTGTACTCATAAAAATACCAGTTTATTTTCTCAATACGTTAATATCACGGGTTAAGTTAAAGAGGTTTACATGTTCTGATACGTAGTATATACGTAAGAATCTCTAGAAAATCGATAAACAAAGCCTCGTCCTATCTTCCGGATTCGTCCTATCTAAGGATTTTTTAAAAATTTCGGCTGAAAATGAGCCTTTCGACCTATATACCCCATCGACCTATACCCCCAAAATTACGGTATATATATATATATATATATATATATATATACTTCAAGTTGGTCTTGAATTGCAATTGATGTTGTGTGGGAAACTTCACACATCAGCATACAGACTGAACACAGTTAAAGGGGGACAACTCAGGGTAAATCATACACTTATAGAGAGGACAAGAATGTGGATCATTTGTACTGAAGAGATCAGTTATATTTATTTAAGGTTATCATTCATTCGTTATCACTGTGAGGAAATCACTCTCTAAGTTCCTAAACTATCTCTGAAAAAAAAGTCACTCATTAAAAATCCCTTAAATCTTTGTATGACAGTAATTAGAGTAATTATCAATCACAGTGATCAGGAAACTTTTATGAAGACAAGTTTTCAACATAGACTTCTCTGAAATATAATTTCTTTCATAAATTATCCCAAAAGGAACCTTGTTTGATTTACTCTGATTCATCAAAATACCCCCTCCCCCTCTGTATTTTTTTTTCACCTCAGTACTTTATTATTTTTTTCTTTTGTTTCAGGGAAGATACAGATTTTCTGTATTGTTTTTAAAGTTTTAGGGTTAATCATTTCTCTAATACTCTTTTTAAACTGAAAGATTTTTACAGCAATAAATATTAAATCTGTTAGTTGTCCTCTGTATAATAAAAACATCAATGAATTGCTAAAACTGATTTTTTATAATCTATGTCAATGTGTTACATGTACATAATTCCAAAAATAAATTGGCAAATTTTTTGGGGTCTCAATTTCAGGCCCTGGAGGGCTATAAACAATGTTGGAAATGTTTTGTAGTGGAAGTAGTTAAAGAATATGATGGAAACATATTGTTAGCAATATTTTGAGATGGCAGCTAAATTAAATATACACTCTTTCCAGTAGATGGATCTGTAGCTGTCTGATTGACCATCCCAATTTTTTTTCAAACCAGCAAACTACAGATCTGCAGCTAGAACAGGAGTTGCAAATTTGTTTGATCATATATGATAAAAACTCACAATACTTCATTATATGAAGACAGTTTCAGAACTTTTTTATCACCCCTCATACATGTATTAAATACAAATTTGAACTTCCCTCAGAAGGTCAGGAAACAATCGTCAAAATACAAACTGATTTGGATATTTTAAGACATCCATACATACACCTGAATTATATTTAGGTAACTTTGCTTCTTTGACATACTAATCAATTTGAAACCATAATATGCATTACCATTGCATGCATACATGATATTTATAGAAATTCATTTTATTAGAAAATTCTTATGTATTGGTAAATTCTTAGCAAACCTTCTCAACTTCTGACAAGTATATAAATAGTACAGATATATGCAGCTTAAACATATTAAAAATATTCTTCAAACAACACCATAAAAATTTATTATGCAATTCCAGCTTTCAATTCATACAGTACATGTATATAAGTACAATACTTAAATTATAATCATGATCAAATTCTTGCCTGTATGTACACAAATTCAAAATTTCATATAACACAAATAGTAACGAATTCGTTGAGATATGTTTGTTCTTTGCCTTTTGCTTTCAGTACAAGCTCAAAATGAGCTAGAAACAGACATTAATAATGTGATCGTCTCCTATCAGGCCGTATTGGCGCTGTCTACTGAGCCCCTCAGGTGTGAGGAGAGCTCACATCTCGTGTCCAAGTCTGATTTCCAAGTATTTTTATAGAATTGTGTGTCCTAATTAATACTTGAAAGGTTAGTTTATGCATTGTGTGCCATCCTGACATCATTAGAGTGCTTCTGATGCCTGAGTTCTAGATTTCTTGGCTGTTTTGTGTCATAGCATTGTAAAGTATCCTGTATGTGCTTTGATTTGACCAAAAAGAAAAAAAAAATTGGACCGCTCCAAGATAGAAATTGATACAACTGTTAAGGGAAAAGCATTGGCTGTGAAAGAGTATTTTTGCTAAAATCATTTAGATTTAAAAAAGAAAACAGATCATTTTGCTTGAATTCTGTAATGTTTTAATAATTTTATGTATTTTGCTGCATTTATCATGTTTATATTGTTTGATTGTAAATTTGCTTTGAGTGCTGAAGCTGCATTGAGAATCATGCAGGGACAGTGAGTTAAATACTTATTGTTCTAATACACAAACAACAACAACAACAAAAACCCAAACGAACCAAAAAACAAAAAAAAAAAAAAAACAGCACTATGAATCTTTTATCTTTCTTGTAGATGTAAAGAAAGTTAAAATGTGTTTTCAAACTTGATTTTATTCCTAAAATTGAAAAAGAAAGAAAAAAAAAACAAAGCCAAAGTACACGTAATGATGAAATGTATTCTACTCTAAAGGTCTTGCATGGTTTGATTGATACACACAAAAATTAATCTTCACCTACTGCTGTTAAATTGTATAATATGCTTTTTAACAGAGGTCCAAATTCATGCCCTGTTGGCAAATCATATTATTTGAGACAGATTTATGAGATAGACCACTGTTCATTATCTTTACTTTTTGCATTACAAAGCCAGTTGTTCAGTGACTTAATCTTTTCATATTTATCATAAGGTCATAAAAGCCCCCCCCCCCCCCCCCAAAAAAAAAAAAAAATTAATAAAAAAAAAAATAGATGAATAAAAAAATAAAAATAATAATAGGATTGTGTAATTTGTTTTCTAGTGAGCAGGTGAAAGTTCAAGGTCATAGAGTCAGGTACCTTTTTCCTCTGCAAAACTCAAGCAAATAGCAGTATGTGAGCACTAAATCAAATCCATAACTCTAACAGTTCTAAAATACAGATTGTAATGGGAAAATGGGCAAAATGATCTGTAAGTGTTTTGCTTTGCTGGTGATTAAAAATAATCAAGATTTAAAGACTTCATATTTTAGAAAATACTCATTAATTTCAATTTTGCATAATGTTGTTTGCAACTTGTTGGAGTAAACAAGGCCTTTTATGTTAGTACAGAGCAGGTATTAAAGGATGCTTTGCAAAGTTAAATAATTTTTTTTCACCTTATGAGCCCTCTTTGAAATTGCATGCACTCACTGCATCATTCCTGCATCTTCAGTCTTTTTTTTTTAAATTCAGTATTGAAGTTTATATATCATTAATTATTTTCAAATGGTGAGCTTTAAACCTGAGATGGATTGTTAACAGCTGGTTAATGTGCTCATGTTTATAAAGTTTGTTTTTTGGAAAATTATACCAGTAACTTTTAATCAAACTAAAATTTACCTTTTTCTCCCATTAGGTAAACTCTAGAACATAAAGTAGTTCACATTCCAAGTTCTACCCTTCATCTGAGAGCCTAACATACTTGTTCTGTAAATACAGCCCTTTGAAAGCATATCCATATCAAAAAGAACCAGTCCTATCTTTAAAACTACATTTTGAAAGATAAATTTTATTTATTATGGGAGAGTACATTCACAAATGTTTGACTATAGCATAGATTTGTTATTAAAGAAAAAACAAAGAAACAAATACTATATTTTTTGTCTTTTAAAGTGGGAGAAAAGTTTTTGCTGCATGTCAATTCAATTTTATGACTATTATTTGTACATGTACCACCATTATAATTTATAATATATTTTTTTAATTTTTTTTTAAAAATTTTCTGATTTCTTGATTCTTTTCTAGATACATTGTGGGAAATAAACAATTATGAAATTCCCCCTGCTCAAAACCCCCATTTTATGCAAGTAAAGGAAAACAACAATGGATTGGTCTGCTCCAAGATTTCCAGACACCCTAATGCTAATGTACCTGTTAAATGTATGGGCTTGCTTTCCCATTATATATAAGTAAGTCAGGCTGTTGTAAATTGTTCACAGTCAAATTGCTATCTATACAAATTTTGATAATTTTTTCATGCAACATGTGTTTTGCAGCACATGTGTTAGTTGTAAAAGATGACGTGATATAATACTGAAAATTTCCAGAGATCATTGAAATCATGGTAGCTCAGTTGAAATTTAAAATAAATAAAATTGAAATGTTGAAGAACCAGTACAGTTAGTTTATCTTTGGCCCAAAGAAGGGAAGATCCATGGTATCAATGTTGACAATATTTTCGCGATCTTGAGATATAACATGGGAACATAATAAGAAATGCTCGTTCGACCATTGTCCTGAAACTATAGTATTAAAGTAGCACACATTACCATGATTACAAACCAAACAGATTTGTTATGTTTGTGCAAAATCAAAAGATGCAGAAATTTTAATATAAATTCAGACATAAATGATTATTTCTTGTGTTAGATATTCATATTTCGTATTCTTAGATATATAGAAATGCTTGCCCATACATTTGATAGTACATATAAAGTTGAAAGAGATGTCTAAAATCAATAAATGAATTTTTTTAAATTTTTTTTTCTTCAGATGTGGTTTCTTTACAAAACTCTGGCATTTCTGACACTCCATTAGTTAACAACAACAGTTATTTCCCTTCCATGACTGGGAGCAGTGTAGAAGAACATGAGAAAACAGTGTGGGCACAGCAAGGATATGACTCCCTGTTTATCCATTCGGTCATCAGTGAATTCCATGGATCTTAAGGTGGCTGATCTTAAAAACAAACACAAGCAGGGATCATATTATTTGTTTTTGCCCAAATTACTAGTTCATCAATGTATCTTTCTAAATAGCCTTGTTTCTTTTTTGTGATATTTGTTTTTTTGCGTATACATGCACATATATATATGTGTGACAACTGACAAATGTTGATGTGCATTTATATTTTGTCCATGACATGCAATTTTAAGTATTTTTTTTTAAAAGAATCTCAATCCCTTTTTTCTTCTTTGGTTTGATTTCATAAAATGCTTAACAAAATTTGTTAAATTATTGTCTTGCATTCTTTTGAAGATTCATTGGGAAAAAAAATAATTGAGGCATCACCTGGTACATTTGTACAATTCTGAGCATTTTTTCCCCTTCAACTACACTTAAAATTCTTTTTTATGGGTGAGGAAAAAGAAACAATGCATTGTCACTTGGGTTTGCTATTAAAGACTTGTCAATGTTGGAATTCACTATCAAAGGCTTGTAGTAATTTTTATGAAAAAATAGGCCTGACACTAAAATTGGCAAAAATCCACACATTGTACATTGAGATGCCATTCTTAAGCTGCTTCTTTTACCACTCTTTATGTTCGTGTACCTTGTACATTATTGTTTTTATTAGATTTGTTTTTTTTTATTTCTATGAATGTATAGGCAGCGTTCTTTACAGACAATGAAGAACAAAATATTCCCATCAAGTTAAAACATTATTGAATTTGTTTCATTGCTATTGGTAAACTTCTACCATTTTTCATTGAGCTGAATTTACTGTTTCACTGAGTTGAATTTACATATCATTTGTTATTATAACTGCATGAATTACTGTAAGGTTCTCATCAAGGCTTCAAGCCAAAACTTAATTATCAGCAATCACTGTAATTTTTTCAGCCACTTTTATTGACACTGAAGTATCTCAATGGTTGTATAAAGGTAGCAAATTATGTATCATCTAGATATTCAATATATATATGTCCTATGGACAAAAAAATTGATTTTATACCCTCTCTCTGTGCTTTAAATGTTCTCTATAACATGATTGTATTTGAAATATCTTTAAGACTATTATTGAAGCAAGTGAATGTACATGTATAATCTGGAACTTGTAAAAGAAAAAAAAGAAAAATACGGAGGAATGATACTTATATTACCGGATCTTTATAAAAGGTCAATAACTCCAGTCCATTAAAGGTAATCAAATCATGTATCTATTTTTTCTTTTTTACCAAGATAAACAGCTATATTGGAGGTTTTGCTTTTTATTTGTACATTTTAATTAGATGTTATTGTTATTTGCCAAAATTTTTTTTAGTTGGATTTTTATTGATTTTTATTGATTCATATTTCCAGTTTTTATTTGAGTTCTGATTTACCAAGAATTTTCAAAATCGTCCCTCATAACTTGACTTAAAGATCTGAAGAATAGATAGAAATACATATATACATGTTCTTGCTGTTTTATACTTCTGAATGCAATTATTTTAATAATAATAGCTATTGCTATTTCTGTCATCACTGTCTCAGAGTTTTGAATGTCAGAAATTATTTTTCCTCCTTAATATGTTATTTTATTGGTTGGTGCTGTTAATTAACAGATGTATCTGTTCGTTAAAATTTTAATTACTGAGTGAATTTTTGTGTGTTCAGTGATTATTTTTCTGAGAGTGTTTGTTAACATCGGACCACCGTTTGATTAGGTTTGCAAAGATTTTCATGAATTGTCCAAAACTTATTTGATCAAAGTTTTTTGAAAGTTTTGTATTTTTATTGTGGATGATAAGTGCAATGAAACTTCTATAGAGAAATACCAGAGTTCTCTTTTTTATTCCAGTGATAATGTTGTTCCTAGAGAGTTTGAAGGTGCTGCGGCACATTAAGGGGCTCTTGATTTTTGACACACAGTCACTGAAGTGAGAGAATTGAAATTTGGTTGGAGAGTTAAATATCCCCTTCCCTTAGGCTTACCTCCACTGATAATCGCCAAACTAGTATTCACCTGCTCCAATATACACAAAGTGCGACATAAAGATACTTTTCTTTATGGAGTGTGTGTACTAGTATGTTTATGGAATTCCGATGGAATATAAATACTGTGAATTAATTAATAAAACAAGGACACCGCATAGTTAAGCATCCCCTGCAAAAGAGCACAAATTATGCTTGCGTAAGTTACGTTACATGTACGCGCGCACTCACCCACACACACGCGAGTTATATATCCCCTCCAACTTCGTTTCGAGGGGATAATAAAGATTATTGAAAAACAATGGGACACCAGTTTCTGACCTTTTACTCTATTTGCATACCAGTACTTATCTGTAGGTAGTTTGTATCATCGAATGGAATACAAACCTCCACCTGTCAAGTTGAGAAAGCTTTTACTTGATTGTACTCGATAGGAAACGCGGAAACACAGAAACGCGGCTCATCCCAACGACCTAGCTAGGAATCTGGATATAAGCGAAACAGTAGACAGTACTTTTGGATTTCTCCAAAGCCTTCAACAAGGTTCCCCATCAACGACTTCTGTTGAAACTACACCATTATGGAATTTGAAACAAAACTGATTGGATGGCAAGTTTCTCCTAAACCGCACTCGCTGTGTTGTTCTTGATGGCCAGTCATCATCTGCCACAAAAGATTCTTCAGGTGTCCCACAGGGAACTGTCTTAGGTCCATTACTATTCCTAGTCTTCATAAACGACATGTCCCCTACAGTGACATCTACAAACAGACCTTTAGCCTCTTGTATCGAAGGATGACAAAAGAGGACCAAGAAATGCTACAGAAAAACCTATATTGAAACCATCTATATACAACACTGGGAGACCGTTGGTTAATGAGGAATAATTCGTACAAATGTGAGGTACTACGGGTAACCAATAGAAGATCTCCACTACTAACCAGCTACTCTATCCATAGTTAAGTCCTCAACATTGCTGATTCTGCAAAGTACTTTGGAGTGACATTGCAGAAAAACCTAAACTGGGACACACATGTGGATAGAATTACAAAGAAAGAAAATTCCACCCTGGCTTTCTTCGGAAGGAACATCAGCCAATGCCCAATAACCATCAAGGCACATTACCCCACATAAATGAGACCAACCCTGGAGTACGCCTCTAGCGTGTGGAACCCATCAACCAAACACATCATCACTAAGTTTGTGGCGGTACAACGTAGAGCAGCAAGATTTACTACTGGAAACTACCACCACACCAGTAGTGTAACATCCATGCTACAGCAACTCCAGTGGCAAACACTAGAAACATAGCACAAGATTGTATACAATCTAGTAGAATCCCAACTGATCAACACTTTAAGCGCACTTTACTGCGGACCAGAGGTCACACTTTGCGGTTCCTTGTACCACACGCAAAGACCACATTTCACCATTCGTCATTCTTCTCCCAAGAAATAAGGCTTTATAGAACCATCTTTCAGGAGAAATAGTGGAGGCCTAAGACCCAGCTGTCCGGCTCATTGAACATACGCGCACGTGTTTTATATTCTGTATTTAGAGATTTTACTTGCACTGTATATTACCCCCCCCCCCCCCTCACACACACACACACAAACGGTATCCAGCGAAACGCTTAAATGGTATACTGACATTTTAAAGGCATCTTCGCTAGCCAAGGGTTTCTGATACGCTACTCTCCTCATAAGCTTATGAGGAGAGTAGCGTATCAGAAACCCTTGGCTAGCGAAGATGTTTTAAAGGAAGAAGAATCGAATGTATATTATTAATATAGTATTTATGCGCAGAATCAGTCATCAGAAGTGATACGAAATCATTCAAAGTGAATGTTCTTTCAGACAACGTATGCAAGAAAAACAGTGAAAAAATTTACTAACAATTACACAATGTTACACGAATCTGAAATATACATTCTACAGGACCATATGACTCGAAGATTCTTGGTTTTAACTTTCAACTTCCAGCCAATCCTCAACTTCCAAAGATAGTAGTCTTGGACCCGGCGACCAAGGAATCCCCCACAATCAATTCCCAGAAATCCAAATAAAAGAACGTGATTCTCAATCCGTTAATTCGAGATAAATATATTTTGTAAATGAGTAATTCCGCTAGATTCGAACGGAAGATCATCTGTCTACGCAGTGTATTTCACCGGAAGTGCCAAAGTCCACTGTGCATTTTTGGATTGATTGATTGATTGATTGAATGTATATAAAGTGTTTTACGTCCCGTTCGAGAATTTTTCACTCATATAGAGACGTACGTCACCTGTGAAGGACTTCAAATTTAGACCTCTACTCAGGGCCATTGAGCAGTGAAGGGTCTTAATCGTGCCAACGCCTGTCGTGACAATTTCCCTTCAAAGTGCCAAGTGCTTGGTGAAGGAACATTTGGTACCTATTTTTTCATGTTTTTATCGACTTGGGTCAGTCGAAGCCGGAGTCTGAACCCACGACCTTCCGATCACGGAGCGAGCGCTCTATTCCGACTAATCTACCGTGACGGTACAGGTTGGGAAAGATCACATTAAGTGGTTGTCAGAGAGACGAGTTTATGGGTTTGATTCGGGAGACATACAAAGAAATTTTTTCAACAACGCAAAGATAATGAACTTGAGGCACTTTCTGAGAATGAATGGAAAATAATAGCAAAGATTGTTGATAGATTCTGTTTTTTGTGGCATCAGTCACGATCGTTATATTTCCTGTTTTTGTATCATGTCCATATATTTTATCATGACTGAAATCACAGAAGTTATTTGTAAAACAAACTATTTTTTTTTCGATATAATTTTGGATGAGATATCCATCTTTATCATTTTAACTTCCGTCGTGATAATTATTTTCTTAAAATTTCATTCTGAGACTGACAGACCTAATCAAACAAACAATTGAAATGATACGTTGTATATTTAGTATAAATATAATATTTTCCATTTCCGTAATAAAAGCAGTCGATCGATGAGTAATACACGTTTTTCGTATAAGTCAGCTGATAATTGAAAATTTGAACTTTATGACCAATTCAACCGAGATTTACTCTCATTACACTAAAGGCAATTTAGGACTTCTGGAATTAATTTACTACAATTATTCGCTTTAGACATAATGATATTAAACATATAAATATAGTCTAACTGATCATACCTCCCGCATTTCAGCGACATATTTTCCAAGAGTCAATCACCTTGATCATAATAATTCATTAAAAACGACGGGGACTTCATGCTGCATGTGGAATCCTTTTCTTTCGATATTATTCATGTAGAAACTGATTTAGCATTGAAGCGATAAGGATAATAGAATTGTAAATTGTCTGCGGGTTGTTACTCTTAGCTACCGTCCTGTGAAACATAGGAAAATAAAAGGTAAGTTTTTTCGCGTTGTTGGCAGATTTTAATACAAGTTTTTTTTTATTTGGTACACTGAAGAAAAAATCAAATCATTTAAATTTTAAACGTTGTGATTTTTCTAATAATGTTGAGAAATTGATGCTAATGAATAAATGCTAGTTTAATGGAAATTGTTAATTGTACATTTCATTCAAAAATAAATTTCCAGTAAGTTAGTTCAAATGTTCTGACAATAAGATATGATATGTATAATAAAATATTTTTCATATAAAAATCATTTTTTGCATCAAGAGTTCGATGTTGGGGAAATCCTGTTGAAAAACACAAAAAAGTTTAACAATTGCAACTTTGGTGAAAACAATAAACTGGTTGAAGGTATTGGAAAAAAAACCCCACTTATTATAGATGTGTGTGTGTGAATGTGTACATACTAAATCAATGGAACGCAAAATTCGAGGGGAAAAACTAAGCAAAGCATAGTTTAACAATTTATAAATTAAATATATCCATTGAAAAAAACATATATGTGAAAATATAGCTGGATAAATAGCGAAAAAAAAAAGGATTTCTGAGAAAATAGATAATACAGTTGTAATTTTGTCGCAAAGCTGGCTTTTGGCCCATCTATACGCTTATATCATATCGATAAGCTTAGTAAAAAAGTGTTGCAATTCTTCTTTTAGTTTTCCCTTAAGTTGTAGCAACTATTACAGGCAATTAAGGTAATCGAAAACAATGTTTATTTTCCCCCATATATAACAATATATACTATACAATAAAGAATTATATCCGGAAACTTAAATGAAATGTAGATCAGTCACACCGCAAAAAGATTTTGTGCTTTTTAAATATATGTAGGTTTTTTCTAATGTTATGTAAAACTGTCTTCTTGACAGAATTATTTTGATATGAACATTAAGAGCAAAGGATTTTCTTAAAAACTGTCATTTATAATTTTTGTTTCAAAGAGGCATATACATGTACAAAAACTATAACTATAACATATATATGTTAAAATGGATTGGTCAAGTCGTTAAGCAGGTCCACCTAATATCGCGATTTTTTTAATGGGTTTAAATCAGGAAATGGCCTGGTATATATATATTTTTTTCTTCATAACATGAAACATTTATTTCTGATTACTGTTTTCAATAGGCGTACTTAATTGTTTCATTTTTGTTAAGTTTTGAAAGTGGCCCACATCTGACCTGAAACTGCTAAATTGAATGTCTTGGATATAGAATCCACAACGTACTTATGGGACACAATTTTATTTATTGAAAAAAAGTTGAATACATCTTTCAAAATACTGTTCAAGGGACATTGTACAATGTGCTTTTTATTGTTCTTCGCTAGCTTTCTTCTCATGCAATATCAGTATTAAAATTCCATTAACAGGCGGTTGTAATGTTCGATAAAAAAACCATCAATAAGTAAAATGTTATGTGTTTTGCCTAAATAAAGACAAACCC